GTGATGTATTTTACACAAAAGAGAAGAAGCATTGTCATGAGGCTGATCAGATGAGTGAATCTGGGGAACACACTCTTGCTTTGTAATCTCTTGAGAAAGCACACACTCTTCCATAATATCGAAAGCCAAAAACATGGCACATGACCTTCAAATTGAATAAACCTGCCTTTCTTTCCCACTGCTGACAACTGATACATTACTTGATGTATTTTACACAAAAGAGAAGAAGCATTGTCATGAGGCTGATCAGATGAGTGAATCTGGGGAACACACTCTTGCTTTGTAATCTCTTGAGAAAGCACACACTCTTCCATAATATCGAAAGCCAAAAACATGGCACATGACCTTCAAATTGAATAAACCTGCCTTTCTTTCCCACTGCTGACAACTGATACATTACTTGTGGGGTCATGATTATATTAGATTACAACCATTTCTTGGCAAGGACATTCCAGAAACATAAACTGACAAAGTGCTCAGGTCATTTCAGACCCTCCATAGAAATAATTATATAATCATAATGAGCTAGCCTCATTCAGGACCTGGACCATTGCCCATCAGAACCTGGAAATTCTTCCTTTGGGCATTGGCTCTGATCCTCAGTCCCTGGCAAATAACATATCACTGCTTTTTTCCCCCACCATTTGCATGGTAGCCTTCTGACACTATTCAATCTTGTACACGGTCCAACAGAAAGAACCAATACAGCTTCCCACACTCTCCGTTCATAAATTGTGGAACTGAAAATCCACTGGAAGAATTGACCTTTGTATGTGAAATAGGGCAGAAAGCTAATAACTAAGGTGCAGCACTAACATTATTAACAGGTCCCTTTTGGTAAAGTTCCCACTGTAATGAATCCCTCTGTTTTTATTTTTCATATTTTAAGATTGAGAGTTATTAAACTTGTTTTTAAATTTTGTTCACAATGCATCACAGAAGAGATACTTCAAAAATAAAATTATTCTAGTGTACTGTAGCAAAGATTCAAATGTTTACCTATTCTTTTTAGATAATCATGCCCAAACAAGAGAACTCTGCTGTTCTGGTTTAAACAAGCACAAAAGTAGCAAATGTGTTACTCAAGTGATAATGGGTTACAAGGAAAGCAAGATTTTTACAGGAAAATTAAAATGAAAGTACAGTTAGGTTCACTCTAAGGGCGTGGTATGGTAAAGAGAATGAAAAAGATCAGAGTGAGTCACACTAGAACTGAACATTCCACTGTGGAACTTCCAAACTTCAGCTTTTGCTACCAGCTGCTGACAAGAAACAGGTCAGGTCTCTTTTTTTTACAAATTTATTATTCACTGAGCTGTACAAAGAGTATCTATGCCTATTTGTAACTAGAAGGGCCAGAGATTTTGCTTTTGATGGATGTTATTTTACGTTTGTTTTACAGAGTATAAGGATTTCATTGAGCCAAGTAATCAACTACAATTCTGAAAGTCACACTAAGTAATTATTGATAGATTTGTACATGGGTGGGGCAGTAATGTCAGATAGTAGGGGTTATACAATTCTCACTATGCATATTTAATCATAGTAGTGTGCACAAAAGCACATCCAAAGTGCTGCCTACCCGCACGTGCAGAATACTACTGAATTCATGCAAAAAATGGAACATCTGGAATAGTTTTTGTAAAATGTGCAAAGATGTATATTACTATTAGTATTCATACTAGTAACAATACATATCTATGAATAGGAATGCTGCTCAAGAATAAAAGCAACAATAAACATTATTAAGTTTTATGGAGAAATAGCAACCGTCCAGTACCTGGAAACTGTTTAATACAGAATTTAGCTCAGCTAAATAGTTCTGACTAGCTGAATGTGTCCTGCTACAACCCTCCCTGCTTTAGGACGCAAGTTTTTTTTTTTTAGACTTTAAGTAAATCAGCTAATAATCCTCTTAAATGAAACATTAGAGCTCATCTGGAAATGACTCAAGCACAGAGTCTGGAGAACAAGATGCTATTTCTAATTTGCTGTTTAGTCTTGGGCAAGTGCCTTAATTTCCTTAACCTCTATTTCCCTTTTGGTAAAAAGGGAATACTAATTCCCACCTTTTTTAATTCTTCCAATGATCATACTACATAAATGCAAAAGGATCATTGCCGTTGAAACAGCTGATTGATAGAACCGATCACTGGTAGAATATATATATAATACTATCCCTCGCCAAACAAAATAAAAATGAATAAAATCCCTTTATCTTCTCCACTGAATACTTCACCATGCACTATAGCCATGCTCATATAAAGTCCAGAATAGGAAATATGTTGAAATGGTGGCTAAAAAAAATCCAAGGATTAAAACCAAAACCCAGTAACCAAAACCTCAATATTAACTGATCAGCATTTAGTAATTAGAGAGCAATTTTTCATGAGCAGACAAGGAAACAAAGCATCAAATAACAACGTTAATATTTCTCAGGTTTTTTTTAGAGTCAAGTTTCCAATTTGACTAACCACACACTTGTGTCCTTGCACATTAAATTAACAGCAATTTAGTTATTTTCAAAAAGAAAACATTTAAAAAATTTTCAGATAAATAGAGTAAGAATTTGGCAGATGTTTTCTTTAAAGACAGTCAAAGTCTTACGTGTTTTTTCAAGTTTCAAAAAGCCCACTGGCAGGCCCAGAGAGGGCAGCAGTTTATTTTCTGATTTCAGTGATTTTAACAGGGTAGTATTCTGAAACACAGTTACAGAGAAAATGTGCTCTCAATTCAGCAGATTTCTGCTCTTAGCTAGCATTAGTCCAGTTTATTTCCAGCTAATGGGCCACTGCAAAACTTCTCAGGCTCTATTTACATTAGATGGAATTTCAGCAAATGATCAATTCTACATTTTGATAAGACCTGGGAATAGGATACAGGAAAAAAATAGTAAATGATTTGTTTACAAGATGCAGACTGGAGATAGAAATCTCCTAAGCTTCAGGAGTAAAGTTCAATTAAAGTCTCATTTTGAAACTAATTATAGCATGAACTTACAATTAAGGGCATGTCTACACTAGGAAATTACCGGTATTTCAAAATTAATGTTATTCCAGAAGAAAAGCAGGAGTACATATTTCAAAATAACAAACTCAGTAGTGTGGATGCTCCCCTTATAAATTCAACCTAAGGGGGGTTATTTCTAAATAAAGCGCTAGTGTAGACCAGGGCTATGAAAATCTGTCAGCATAATTTTGGAGCCCAACTGAAGTTTTTTGGATTTGAACTACTTGGCTGATGTTTAAAAATACAAAATGGTCTGTGCATAGTATATGGGGGAAACTAATAGAGGGCTTCCCCTCCTCAGGACTGAGGCTGCCTCAGGGTATGTCCACACTACAGCGTTATTCCGAAATATCTAATTTCAAAATAGTTAATTCGAAATAGCTTATTTCGAAATAACACGTCAACACACAAAATGCATTTCAAAATAGCCTTTTTCTATTTCGAAATAGCGCATCCACACTGAGTGGACGTTGAATCGCATTTAAGGCTGGTTGGAACCAGTTCTGGCAGGACATCAGGTCAGATGTTGCCTTGTGGCCAGGGTGGCCAACAGGACATCCTGGGAAGGGCTGGAGGCCCCCTATTTTGAAATTAGCGACTACACAGCACTTATTTCAAAATAGCAATTTCAAAATGGGTGCTATTCCTCGTGGAATGAGGTTTACCAATTTCAAAGTAAGCCCTCTGCTATTTCAAATGAATTTCGAAATAATGGAATGGCTGTGTAGATGCTAGGAAAGTTATTTTGAAATAACTGCTGTTATTTCGAAATAACTTTGCTGTGTAGACATCCCCTCAGAGAGTAATGTCTACACAGAAAAAGCTTCACAGCAGCTAGAGTACCAAAGTAAACTTGAATATATCTGGGGTAGGTAACATCAGTAAAGGCAGCTCAGCCCTGTGTGTGTTCTCTGTTTGCCAGCCTGTTCCCCCAGTCTGTATTGTATTGTCCTCATTATTATTGATATGTGCATTAGCTAGATTAGATGGTTATGTGTAATAGCTGGAAACATACCTAGATGATTGGGGCCTTGATCCTGAAAACAGATCCATGCAAGTGGACCCTGGACCATAGGGTTACCAGATGGTTTAAACAAAAATACCAAACCCTGCCCCCCACCTCTACCTCCCCCCCCCCAAAAAAAACACCAGGGAAAAAGTTCTGTTGAGAAAAAAAGGGGGGGGGGGGGGGGGAGGAAAGAGACCAAAGTTGTTGAGAAAAAAAAAGCGCTGCACTTTTAAATGGCAGAGGAAAATTGTCCCCTTCGGGCTTCTGTCCACGGGAAACAGGAAATACCGGACATTTTACATGTCCAGTATTTTCTGTTTTTTTTTTTACCGGATGGGGGATGTGAATACTGGACTGTCCGGGTGAATACTGGACACCTGGCAACCCTACTGGACCCTGCAGTCATGCAACACACCAGTGAACTCAATATGGCCAGAATGAGAGCCAGTTCAGCTCTACTATTTTTAGGCAGCCACTTCCTAAAAGCAGCTTGATTTACATCTGATAAGTAACATCCACTCACACACCCCAACTGAAATATACAACTGCAGGCATCTCTTAGCAATATTTGCCTCAGGCCTCGTCTCCACTTACTGGGAGATCGACGCTGTGGAGATTGATCTCCCATGGGTCGATTTAGGAGATCTAGTAACTATATAGTGACCCACTATATCAACTGGTGATCTCGCAACCCAGTGGACTACTGAGTCGAAGGGAGTGGGGAGTAAGGGAACTTTACGGGAGAGTTTCTCCTGTCGACCCCGTGCAGTGGCCATGCCGTGAAAATTTGAACTAAGGTATGTCAACTCCAGCTTCTCTATTCATATAGCTGGAGTTACGTATGTTAGTTTGACTTTGCGCCCTAGGGTAGACCTGGACTCAGTTTCAGTTAGCTCTTCTTCTCAGGGTGGTACCAGAGTTCCTTCACAAGAACTCCAGCCAGGATTGTTTTGCTCGGATGAGCTTGGTTTCTGTGTAACAGGTAGAAAGACATGGTTCCCTGCCCCGAAGGAGCTGTAGCTACATTCATTGTTTGAGATAGTTTCTTACTTTGAATACATTTGAAAACAATATTTGCTTTTATTTATACAAACCCTAACTTGTGTTCTAAGGTTCACTGACAATCTTTAAGCATGCAATCAACCTGGATTTGTGTTTTGTCTTGTAGCTTTTTCCATGGGGTGGGGTGAAAATGCCTCGATGGACTATGAAGAAGACAACAGCGAATCAAACTTCACTTTAGATTATACTCAGTATGAATCGCTTTGTGAAAAAACAGAGGTGAGAAATTTCACTAAATTGTTCCTACCTGTTTTTTATTCCCTGGCTTTCGTTGTGGGCATTGCAGGAAATTCATTAGTGGTGGCAATCTATGCCTACTGCAAGAAACCAAAGACTAAGACCGATGTTTATATCATGAACTTGGCAATTGCTGATCTGTTACTGCTATTCACCCTTCCTTTCTGGGCTGCAAATGCAGTCCATGGATGGGTGCTTGGAAACATCATGTGCAAAGTCACTTCTGCTTTATACACCATGAACTTCAGCTCTAGCATGCAGTTTCTGGCTTGTATCAGTGTGGATAGATACAATGCCATTTCCAAGCCCCAAAGTCACCAAAGAGGTGGAAAGCAATGCAGCATAACCTGTATCTGTGTCTGGTTGGCAGCTATTTTGCTGAGCATCCCTGAACTGATTTTTAACACAGTCAAGGAAAATAATGACAGGTATGGATGCTTTCCTGTATTTCCACTCGACCTGGGAACACTCCTTAAAGCAACCATTCAAATCCTGGAAGTTATGCTAGTGTTTGTACTACCTTTCCTTGTCATGCTGATCTGCTACTCTGCCATTGCCAGAGCACTCCTTCGGTCTCCAAACATTCAAAAATCTAGGCCCCTCAAAGTTCTGCTGACAGTAGTGGCTGTTTTCATTGTCACTCAGCTGCCTTACAATGTAGTCAAGTTCTGGAGAGCCATAGATGTCATCTATTTGCTGATTACAGACTGCGACATGAGTAAAACCATAGATGTTGCCCTTCAGATAACTAAGAGCATAGCCTTGTTTCACAGTTGCCTAAACCCAATTTTGTACGTCTTTATGGGAGACTCTTTAAAAATACGCATTATGAAAATAGCAAAAAATGTTGGATCTTGGAGGAGAAGTTGCAACATAACTACTGAAGAGATTTCTATGAATTGTGAAGGCCACACAGAAGAAACCAGTAGCTTTACTATATAGCAGCTGTATCACTCTCTTTACCCAGTGTAACAGAAGAGAACAATTATAATGCATCTTATGGCTATTTCCTCTTTGATGAAACAAGCGTCTATGGTATTCTGCAAGTCAAATCTGAAGTGTTCTGACACCGGAACCAACCAAGATGTTGCAAGGAAGTTCAAAATAGAATAAGACCAAAAACTATATAGTAAAAGTAATGGAAACAACAGAACTGGATATCAGCTTGAATGCTTTAAAAACAAACCCACAGCAGGATTTAAAGGGTCACAGTGCTAGGCAGTGTTCCCTGTAAGCTGAGTGCTTGGGGGGCTGTACAGGAGAGATTCAGGTGTCACCCAGCTGATTAGTTGAAAGCCCACAGCTAACCACAGCCAGCAGCATGTGTTTATATTGGTGGTGCATATCCACACGTGTTGGTGCACATAACATTTATTCTGCCCATAGTTGGAAACTCTTAGAGGGAACATTAGTGCTAGGCCATTAATTAGACAACGAATGAATGGGCTTCATATCAGTTAATCACAAAAGATATATACTTAACATGTAAAAAGGAGGAAAAAAACAAATATATGATGACACTGAATGTTGTATTCAGGAGTCCTTTAAATCTTCAGTCCTTCAAAATGGAACCCTGCGGAGATGCTTTTCAAAAGTGTTTTCAGGTTTTCATAAAATGATTTACAATGTTTGCCTAAAATTGCAATTCTGTTTTTCCTCAGTTGTCACTTCACAAATGTCCTGTGAGGCTCGAGATGAGGAAAAAGTTCATCTCTGGTATTTCACAGAGGTAGTGGTAAACAGCAACTATAGTCCAGTGTTTTATGATTCCAAATATGTGCGGTATGTTTAAGAGTTCCTTTTCTGTAACAACCTTTTCATTATGTTCTGCTTTCACTGGATTGCTGTGAGTCCAATTTCCTGTTATAGACACATGCCAAATCTTTAGTTTAAATCCATATTCACAAATCCAGACTCATTTTGGTCATTTCCTGCAAGGCAATTCATATTTCCTGTGCCCTCTATAAAATTCTTTGGGAACGGATGTAACAATGAGCAACGAAAATGTCTTACATTTTGCATACACTTATAAATCTAATTCTGAACATGTAGCTCTATACTGTTCTAGAAAATCAGTTTTGATTTGTAAATGTGGAAGCTAAGCCAGGAAACAGATTGGGCTCATGAGAGGAGGAAGACAGGCATGAGGATAGGAGAAAGATGAAAGGCTAGCTTTGTGGCCTCCCAGAGTAGGGAAACTAAACCATTATTCACCTAGGCTGTGTCCAGACTCAGGGTTTTTTTCGAAAAAAGTAGCCTTTTTTCGAAAAAAACCTCACCTGCGTCCAGACTCAAGCCACGTTTTTTCGAAATTAAAATGAAAGAACGCGGCTTTTCTTTCGATGGTGGTAAACCTCATTTCACGAGGAAGAACGCCTTCTTTCGAAAGTTCCTCTTTCAAAAGAAGGCGTTCTTCAATGTAAATAGGGCTTCTTCGAAAGAGAGCATCCAGACTCACTGGATGCTTTCTTTCGAAAAAGCAAGCCGCTTTTTCGAAAGTTCAACGTGCAGTCTAGACGCTCTCTTTCGAAAGAGGCTTGCAGTCTAGACATAGCCCTAAGGAGGATCCTTGCCTATGCTGCTGTAAGATAGTTTTGCCTGTCAGTCATATTGGTGTGATGCTAAAAACAAAGGTGGTGTTGTTATTAAATTAATTTGTGTTATGCTCAGTAGCTAACTTTGAGAGGTTTATATAACACCACCTTTATTTTTATTGATAATGCCTCATTCTAGTGAAACTAACAGTCATTAATATCTAATGTTCTTCATCTGTAATATGCATGCATTGTGGGGTAGACTCAACTGGCATATATTGGTATACCTTCATGATTTACACAGGATCAGGCCCTTTGTATTTTAAAAGCCGTGTAATCCATATACTAACAAGAATTTATGTCTGTTGCCTTAGAGCTCTTTCTTGTGCATAGTCATGTAAGGGACTGGCCTTTCTGCATGAAGTAGATGCTGGGGTAATTACTACCTACAAACAAACAAGACAATACTATAAAGTGGTACAACTATAAAAATGGTGACTCCAATGTATTCACTTCTGCTTTTTAATTATATTTTGTAATAAAAAGCAAGGATATACTATTTTATATTAAACTTATTATATACAAAGAAGTAAAACCATTGCCACACTCTTTGTATTTGTGTCCAATTGAAAAGTTAAGTTGTTTCAAGCAAATTGTACTTCAAAAGGCATTCCAAAAACAAATACTGCCAGTAATCAACATTGGGCCCAATTCAAAGTACACTGAGGTTAATGGGAGTCTTTCAATTAATTACAATGGACTTTGGATAGGCCCCAAATGCACTATTTTGACCTGAAGAAGAGCTCTGTGTAAGCTTGAAAGCTTGTCTGTTTCTCTCACCAAGAGAAGTTGATCCAAAAACCAATATTACCTCCCCCATCTGGTCTCTCTATTTTGAGACGTGAGAGTTACATGTGCAGACTAGCAATAGGTAGGAATGTCCAATATCATGTAATTGAACAGTCATGCAACCGCATGAAATCTTATTGGTTACTGGAGTATTCAACAGTCCCCAAGGGTGGGGCTGGCAGCCACTGCAGAGGTGTATTGGTTAATTGTGTAGTGCAGTGATCCCCAACACGGTGCCCGTGGGTGCCCTGACGCTTGCCAGGCCATTTCTGGGCACCTGCCAAGTGATCGGGGGCCCCCCCGGACGTGCGGCGCATGGGCGGTGCCGGCCCTCTGGAAGCATGGCGTATGGGCAGCGTCGACCCCGGGTGCACAGTGTCTGGATGGCCCTGCCCCAAGGTGCGCGGTGCAAGGCCTCTGCTGGCCCCGGGCGAACGGCATATGGGCAGTGCGGGCCCTGGGCGCACAGCACAAGGCTGGCGCTGGCTGCAGGTGCGTGGCACAGGAGTGGCCCCAGCCCTGGGTATGTGGTGTTTGGGCAGCCCCCACCTCTGGGCATGCAGCACAGGAGCGGCGCCGGCCCCGGGAGTGCAGTGCATGGGTGGTACCAGCATCGGGCACGCGGCGTATGGGTGGCCCTGCCCCCAGGCATGTACATGGCCCTGCCCCTGGGTGCGTGTGTGGCCCCGCCCCCGGGTGCCTGGCCTGTGAGCAGCCCCACCCCCCGGCACCCGGCAGCCCAAAAAGGTTGGGGACCACTGGTGTAGTGGATCTACATGTTGACATCCCTAGCAATAGGTATACAAGAAATCATAACTCCAGTCATCTGAAGAAGGGAGCTGTGCCCACGAAAGCTCATGATACCATCTACGTGCTTTGTTAGTCTATAAAACGCTACCAGACCATTTGTTGTTTTTTTCTGTAACAGACTAACTCGGCTATCCCTGAAGCTCAAGAAATCATAAGACATGCTTTGTACTTTAATCTTATAAAGGTTTCTTCCAGATCAGAAGTTTAAAAAAGAGAAGACAAGGAATATTCCTCTTCTTTATGCTGGGATAACAGCAGTTTATCAAACAGCAATACTCCCATTTTGGAAGGTGACAAATATATCAAGTTTCCTTTCCACTTCAGTCCCTGAATTATAGTTTTAGGCTTAGAGAGAGCATTCCATCTACTGGTGATTCTCGATATTGCTGGTCAAACTGTATCACTGAATTATTAGAGCAATATTTGCAGAATGTGTGGGCCTCTCTCATTCTGTAGCGCCACCTCTCCCCACACATGTAAGTAACACTCAAGCTCCATTCCATTTAGTGTTAGTACAGATACCAATACACTATATTTGTGGCACTGCCCTGAAAGGGGCTGAGTGCCTGCTGGTCCCATTGACTTGATGGTTTTCTTTTTGCAGACTGTGTAGAAATACACAGTAACAGTTATTTAAATGCAATTTAATTGATTTAATTGATAATTCATTACCAGAATCTCCTGGTATTTTGTAGTTTCAGAGGTGTAACCATGTTAGTCTGTAACTGGAAAACCTAAAACTAATGGTTTTGCAGCACCTTAGGGTACATTTACACTTGCTCTCTAGTTCAAGTTAGGGATGCAAATGTAGCCGACCGAAATTGCTAATGAAGCGGGGATTTAAATATCCCATGCTTCATTAGCATAATCTTGCCCGCGCGTTATTCCGCTCAACAGCTGATTCGAACCAGGAAGTGCACTCCGGGATGTGTTAGTTCGAATCAAACCCCTTGGTTCCAACTAACGTTACTCCTCATTTCATTCAAAAAATGAGAATTAACGTTAGTTCAAACCAAGGGGTTTGATTCCCTGTCAGGGTGGTCAAATATTGGAATAAATTGCCAAGGGAGGTGGTGGAATCTCCCTCTCTGTAGATATTTAAGAACAGGTTAGACAGACATCTGTCAGGGATGGTGTAGACGGAGCTTGGTCCTGCCTTGAGGGAGGGGGGCTGGACTCGATGACCTCTCGAGGTCCCTTCCAGTCCTATGATTCTATGATTCGAACTAACGCATCCTGGAGCGCACTTCCTGGTTCGAATCAGCTGTTGAGCGGAATAACGTGCGGGCAAGATTATGCTAATGAAGCATGGGATATTTAAATCCCCACTTCATTAGCAATTTTGGTTGGCTACATTTGTATCCCTAGCTCGAACTAGGGAGCAAGTGTACACGTACCCTTAGAGACTAACAAAACATGTAGAGGTATCATGAGCTTTCAGTTCATCTGAAGAAGTAGGTTGGGCCCACGAAAGCTCATGATACCCTCTACGGCTATGTCTAGACTGGCATGATTTTCTGCAAATGCTTTTAACGGAAAAGTTTTTCCGTTAAAAGCATTTGCGGAAAAGAGCGTTTAGATTTGCACGGACGCTTTTCTGCAAAAGCACTTTTTGCAGAAAAGCATCCATGCCAATCTAGATGCGCTTTTGCGCAAGAAAGCCCCGATCGCCATTTTAGCGATCGGGGCTTTTTTGCGCAAAACAATATCGCGTTGTCTACACTGGCCCTTTTGCGCAAAAGCATTTGCGCAAGAGGGTTTTTGCCCAAATGGGAGCAGCATAGTATTTCTGCAAGAACACTGACAATCTTACATGAGATCGTCAGTGTTCTTGTGGAAATTCAAGCGGCCAGTCTAGACACAGCCTACATGTTTTGTTAGTTTCTAAGGTGCAGCAAGACCATTAGTTTTAAGTTTTTCCAGTTATAGACTAACATGGTTACCGCTCTGAAACTACAAAAGTTTTTCTGGTATTTTGCAGTTAGTACCTAGTACAAGGGTGGGCAATAATTTTTGGCAGGGGGCCACTCCAAGATTTTGGAAAGTGGTCAAGGGCCACACTTTTCTGTGGAGGATGTTCAGGGTCTAGGATGGAGGATGGGGCAGAAGGGCGCATGGAGTAAGGAACTAGGGTGCAGGAGACAGTGAGAGGAAGTTTGAGCAAAGGAAAGGGTTGTAACCTGGGTCAAGGGATAAAAGTGTAGAGTCAGGGAGGGGGTATGGGTGCAGGAGAGGATTCTGGCTTGGGAGAGGGATATTAGGAGGGGGTGCAAAGTCTGGGAGGGAGCTGAGCCCTGGGAGAAGGGGAAAAGGGGGTGCAGACTACAGAGGTTGTGGGTGGTGACTTGAGGCAGGGGATAGGGTGCAGAGTCTGGAACAGTGTTTGGGTGCAGGAGAGGATTCTGTCCTGAGAGAGGAGTGTAGGAAGGGGTACAGGTTCTGGGAAGGAGTTGTGACCCAGGCCAAGGGGTGCATAGGGTTTGGATGGTGACCTGGGGAGGGAGTTGGGGTGTAGGAGGAGCTGGGGTGCCAGAGGCAGGCTCTGGCTGGGAGGCGCATACTTAAACCAGCAACCCTGCAGCACCCCGAAGGCAGTCTGGGCTCTCTGCCTGCTGCAGCCCCAAATCACTTACAACTACAGGCTGCAGCCCCCCACCCCTCAAAAGGGGGAAGAGATTTGAGCTGCTCCCATCCTCCAGGCCAATCTCTCAGCTCCTATTGGCTGCTTGTTTCCAGCCAATAAGAGCTGAGAGATTGGCTGGGGTCTGTTCCTATTGGCTGGTTGGTTCTGGCAACAAGAAGCTGAGGATTGAGCTGGGGGCGGGGAGGTCATAGAAAGCCTCCCCCTACCTGCAGAGCAGAGAGATGTGCGGACTGAGCTTTAAACTGTGTCACTATGTGCCTGAGGGTCCCATCAGGGTGGTCCGCAGGCTGAATCCGGTGGCTTGCCAGGCCAGATCCAGCCCCTGGGCCATATTTTGCCCAGCCCTGGGCTAGTACAACAGTGAAGAAATAAGTGAATTATGTAAGCTAGAATTGCATTAAGCTATTTTAGAATATAGTATGTATAGCATGTAGTGTTTATGAACTAGGATCTGCTACTTAAAATTACAGTAAA